TCTACAAAAGCTCAACTACTACCTTGCTACAACAACTCAACTCGTACTAGTAAACTACTAGTACTCCTTTCTTTTTTTTGCGCCAGTTAGAGTCCGAAGTGCGAAAATGCGATTGCAAATATTTTTGGACATAAGCCAATAAGTCTTCAAAAGGATGGTTTCACGATTTAAGCTCCTTTTCTACGAAAGGGTAAAAATCTTGCGTGAATCGAATGAGATAGATTAGACCTCCCAGCAAGACTCAGAGATGTGGAGATAAATCTTGCTCTAACGGGGATGTCTGGATGAAGGTTGACTGCATTTGTTTGTTTTTATTGTCCACCTAATTTGTAGTTTCGGATAGAAGTGATCTTGAAATGGTTTGAGATGAGGAATAGGGTGGAATGCCAGTGCAACGGCTTGAATAATTCCTTCAAATAAAGAGTTGCCTTCAAACTATCAGCAGCGTCTTGGGTAACGACCACTACATACCTCTCGCGGCTAATCTCATCTCAAGCCATTTCAAGATCTTCACTTTTATTCGAAACTACAAGTTAGGTGGACAATGAAAACTAATCTCTCAGTTTCTTCGGCAAAGAGGGAGGTGAAGATAGAGTTAACAGAAAGTTGGACGGATGCGGCGAGATAATATGGGAGTGAAGGAACGCAGATTTGATGGTGTGCACCCCCTCAAATTTTCTGATTGAGCCTTTTTGCATGTAGATAGCTAAGGAAGAGGCTGACGCGATCCGGGACAAATGGTTTCCGCCTAGGGCATAGCTCCATCGAAGGGGAGGCTGACGATTCAGGATAGGCGGTTGGTCTTGGGCCACCGTCGCTATCGGTAGACGGAATTCAAAATTCCACATTCCCAAAGTAACTGCGCAAAAACGATTTAAATCGTTTCGGAACTCCATAAATGACTAATGGAATGGAAATGCTGCGTAGTGCTTGATTGCAGAGGATCACTTACTAGGGCGTCGAACTCCATCATCTTATGCTCTGTTCACCTCTAATACTATTTAGGAGGGTAGGCATTGTTATAGTGGTAGTACTCAGCAGAGAACGTTACCGTATTTCGCTCACTCTCAAAATATCCATTGAACAAGTACGTATTGCCTACCAGTGTTGCTGCGCCGTAAGGTGCACAAAGACAGGGTTGTAGGTTCGATCCTGCTAAGTCCCGATGTTTTTGCAGCAACGTAATCTTTGGACAACCGTACCGCGGTTATCCTCACGTTTCGCTTGTCATTTCAAGATGAATGCACCCAACCAAAAGAGATTGGAACTGTTTCAAATATCTCACTTCAAAGATAGATACGCACTGCTGTACCACATTAGGCCTTGAAAGCTAATCTTCTATTCTTTAACCTTCTTTGATGTATATTAGCATGTTACAAATGGACTTAGATTTGGGCTGAGACAGTCTTGAGAAAATCTCGCATATCTCTTTTTTTACGCGCCACTTCCAAGTGGGGAAAAGCTTACATTGGTCCGTGCATGATTTCGGGTTCCCCTTCTACTGCGAAAGTGCTCGCCTCATCGATTGT